TTTCTCCTAAAACGTCATACATCCATCTTCACCTAACAGAACACTCATAACTTACAGGCATGTCGACAATATTTACACGTTTTAAAAGATGTCATATCATGAAAATTCCAAAACTAAAAAACTTAACTGATGTTTGACAAAAGAAGATAGTGATGGTCATAAATACTGAACCTTGTGCAGAAAACACAACAAAATGGTGAAGTACTGCAGATCTGTAAGTCTGTATCCCCACACTAAAATGCAAGAGCAAACAATGAAAGTTTTTTTTTTTTTTTTCCTTCTTGGTTATATAACCAAAACCAATCCTGCAACACTGCTGATGGTACTGATGCTTTTTGAGGGATGTATTGTTGAACATTTTCAAATGTTAAAAACGAGAAATGTATTCACGAACCAAGCTGAACATTTCTGAACAACCACAAGGATGGCCTGAACTTGTATGTTTGGAGGTCAGATCTCAATCAAAAAATGTCTTTTCCTTTTTAAATATCCTTGACAAATAATGTGGTTATTATAAACAAGCCTATTACTGATGGAATATGGTGGTGAGACTAGAATCAAAGCACTAAAATGATGATAAGGTGATTTTTTTTTCATCTTTTAGGACAAACAAAAATGTGACACTGGAATTAAATGTCAAGCTAAACAGAAGACCTTGATATTTGCCTTTTTAACAACAATGAATGAAACTAGATCAAGTGTTTTTTTGTGATTAACAATGCCAACAAAAGCATAGGTCAAAGAAAGGTAGAGTTTTACAAATTTAATGTTGTTTGAAATGAACTGAGATGCTTTCTAAATAAAAGTTACCTTAAAACAGTAAACTGAGATTTAGTTATGGAACAGAAATGAACACTATAATCACTACATGTTAGGCAAAAGCTGAATTATCTCTACACCAACAACTACTGTAAATGCAAGGATGCAAAAAAAGTATTTAACAACTTTGAATACAATCTAAACTGGTTGGACTTTAAAAACACGAAGAGAAAATATATCTGAAGCGCTTAAGAAAACCACATTCAAGCATTAAGGCAGCAACACACAACTCCTGCTGCCAAACAGTTGAATGCCAGCCGTAACCAATGTCAGCCAAATCCTGACCAAAAACATCTTGAAATATCAAATTACTCCAGCTAAGGGCAAACATGGCTAAAGCAATGATCAGAGTCCTTCAAAGGATTCAACACTTAGTACAGAGGCAGCAATATACAATTCCTGCTGCCTATCAGCTGCTTGTCAGCTGTAGCTACACCTGCCAAAGCACAAATAATCACGCAAACTTTGAATGAACCCTGAAATGCAGGCACACAAAAAAGTTCTGAAAAGCAAAAAACTACTAGTGCAGCTATGAGCACACACAGCGGCATTGGACAAGGGGCAAAGAATAATTGATGACTACCCTTTTATGCAAAGTCAACCTTTGCATAGGGTCTGTCTTTTTGTGCAAAGCACTAAGTGAAAATAACTAGCACTGAATAAAGTTTGGTGTAAGAAACCGGATTTAGCAATGCATAACCCCTTCTAACTAGCAGCTTCCTGGCAGCTGCAGCTAATGTTAACCAAAGCACAGAGCACATAAAAAAAGTAGCTCACTCCCAAGTCACAACACCAACTTACATCATTACCCAGCCTTCTCACACAACATTAACCCCTACTGTCCTTATTACACCACATAATCAGCCTCACACCGTCCTCATCAAGAAAATTACCATCACTGACATCAACCCTTCTTCTAAAAGTAAAGAAGTCCACAGCAAGCTTGCCCCTTAAGATCAGTTGTCACCGCTTGTCCAGACACAGTCAGCACTTGCTACAGTGACACAAACAAAAGTAAAGAAAAAAACTGGATTATTTATCTAAACGCCATCAGCCATTGCCAGGACTCATGACTGTGGTCACACTGCAGACTGGCAATAAAGATATGTTAAGGCATATGAAACCAATGCACAGTCATGAGTGCATAATAGATCTGTCTATATAGCATTAGTGTGATGCATCGGATTCACCCATTAGCTAAATTCAGATAGCACAAACATGCTGTGTTGTTGTACTGCTGATGTCTTTGGAGCCTAGTTATTTGTAGAAGTGATGATGGAGATGAGAAAACAACTTCAAGTACCATTTCAATAACCAAAGCACACATTTATCATGACAAAATTTCTCTCACTGTCCATGCCCTAATCTGATCATCTGGTGCACCCGGCTATGTAGGAGCCTCTACTGTCAACAGAGCTGTCAACCATGACATCCCATCTTCCCTTTCATTGGTAAATAACTTCATAAATGTCCCATAAATCAAAACAGATTTTTCTTCTAGCCTGTACAAATATATTTGTCATTCCCCAGACCAGCAACTTTGTATAGCACAGGAACTTTCTGTGCTATAGAAGGTTGCAATTGGTGCTAATTCGTTTATTTGTGCAAACCACTTCACCTTGGACTGCTTCCACAAAGGCCGACCACATAAAATTACCACAAACAGCCAGAAAGTAGAAATAAAACCCAAATTCTACCATACTGCTCAGACAAATACTGATGGAACAGCAGTAACATTTCAACAGATCCTAGAATACAGTATATGGGCTCTTCCGGTGCACTCACCATCATTTCTTGCTGTGTTTTTCCACCCCTACATCTGTCCACACTATCTTGCATCCTCCCCTCTTAGGTAGCCACACAGCACAGCTCCTCACATCTATAGTATCCCTGCCCACTTGCTAAATGTATGATGAAGCCAGAGACTGGGAGGTTGATTTCACGTGGCTTTCACAGCTGCTGTAAACTGCTAAAAAAGACTTTTTTATGGAACTTTTTGAAATAAATTTATTCTAAAAAACACTTGGACATAACAGAAAGCATGTTCAAGACAAAGTTCAGGTATCTTAAGTCTGACCCCCGTCTCACCCTGTGTTTAAGAACTAAACTGCAGCCAGTCACCAGGGGTAGCTCTACATATATTTTGTCTAAGGACTGAATGCATTATTATTCTCTGGAGCTTGAACCTGAAACAACCCCACTGCCCCATGTCTGATGCATGTAAACAGTGAACACATGGCAGTCATGTTTGGTTTATATAAATGCAGCAAGAACAAAAGTCCAGAAGGAGAACCAGATGCAGTCAACAAGGACCCAGATTCTAAAAAGGTACAGGATCCACCATGACAATAACTAAAGTTCCAGCAAATCAAATATCAAACTTCCAGAGCTGATCAGTCAGACAGCAGAGCCAGTAAAGAATTTCTGGTACGGCCTTAAAAAGACTGTTTACTTGTAATCTGACAGAGCTAGACAGAGCCGCTTTGTTGACTATAAAACTATGATTGTTCAATTAAAAGCGGTCATTTATATATGGCAGACATCAGCAGTAACAGCCCAAAATCAATATTTTTTGTAAAATTATTGGATGAGAGTTGAAGAGGAGCTTTCAGATTGGGTGAGACAGCTCTGAGAAACATAAAATACATATGAAATACTTTAGTGTTCATGGGAAAGATGAGGTTCCTCTGTTATTTTAGAGTAATTTCCAGTTGATCAGTGTGGAAAAAAAAGACATTAAATCTACTTTAATTCATTTCTGCAGAAACAAATAGGTAGATAAATGTTGTTCATGGGCATTTTATGGGAATAAAAGTTGTATGTACTATCTAAATGTAGAGATAAGATATAGATTATTAATGAAACTGTCCTAAAAGTGTTGAAATCTATCAGGGAGGCTCTGTGATATCTGAAATCACAAAAAAATATTAAAATCTGGCCTGAGTGCAGATGAAGCCCCCCTCACATTAATGTGACATCTCAATCCTTTGGCTGCTCTGTTCATTTGGAGATCAGCCGAGGTCACATGCTCACCTCATGAATGGTCCCACATGCGAAAAGTTGGCCTGATATCAAAGGTCTTTATAGCATTTTTGGCATATAATATCGCCACACCCAGCCCTGGGTTAAAGCTGACCCAGGCTTAGAGGTTTCCAAATGCTTGACAGAAGTTCAAAGTGTGAAAGACCTAAAAAAAATAACAGGTTAGAAAGTTCTGTTCCTAAAGTGTGGAGATCAATGATACGACCCCAGCAACTCACCACAAAAGCCAGCAAATTCATGAACAACCTCAACCCTTACGCCTGACTCTGGGTTTGCCAAACATGGCAAATGACAGACAGGAACAACTGCTGAATATCCGCTGAAAGCATGCTCGGCTGTCCTTGTGGTTCCCAGAGCAAAACAAGATCTCAAGTCATTGGTACCCAACAAGTTTGACATTACAGATGTGTCTGTGCATTCGTGATTAAATAGATATCTTCGGATCAAACGTGAGAAAAAAAATCAAACTGAACTGACAAAAAACCCCACTTTGTCCAAAGGATGTGCCAAAAACCACACAAATCATAAGTTCCTCAAGGGAGTTTTAAAGATGTACTCTGCAATTCGTGGGGCAGATTTTAGATGTGTAGGGTTATGGATTTTTGAGAATCTAGAGGGAAACTCTGTTGTGAGACAACAACTGTCAAACCTTTAAGTTAGCATTTGACTTATGGGAGCTAATGGAACATAAACTGCAGTGTTTGAGCTTAACAGATTTTTTTTAGCACTTTCATATCCTTGCCCACTTTTAAATTCCTTTAATTTTGCAGCGTTTAAGATTTGGAAAGGTTGCTCATGCATTTTACTGAGAGATGGAAAAAGTCCTACACTTATCAGTAAAAATACAGAATCTTTGTGCTGTTAATTTGAACAAAAATAACGTACCGAAAAGTGTGAAATAAAAGCAGAGTGGTTAAAAGCTTGATGATTCCAGTAATTGATGACGACTAGAAGCGAAGGATGCAGAAATCAAATTCTCTGGTTGAGATTTCGTCTGTGAGTACTGCACCTGGGTAAATGGCTTTAGTTACCTTCCACCTCCACAATAACACAGCTGTTCATTTCTCCTCCAAGTGCTCATTCAAAGTGGAAATATTCTCAGCAATAACACCGTCCTCTTCACTGGTCCTTGGTTCCTCCTACCGTTTGCCGTAGCTGTGTTCCAGCCACTGCCGCACATCCTTCAGACTGTAATAAAAAGGCCCCTTACCCCCCAGGTAGGCGATCTTCCTTTGCTGCACTATACACACCCGTTCATTTGACACGCCATACGCCACATTGGCATTATTGTCCATACTGTCAGCCACCAGCTGACACTGCGGTGGCAGGGAAAAGTGCTCGATGAGTTTACGTGCCGCTCCTAGCCTCTCCTCCAGGTTCTGATGTTTCCGGACGTTGAAGGAGCAGGAGCCCATAGGAGGGGCCACCCAGCCATCTGACGGGTGAGCCTCGTCAATGTACACCAAAAGGAAATCAGCCACGTCACTGAAGTCCTCTACCAACTGCCGGAAAGCTGGCAGGTGGCTGATGAAGGGGGGTCAGGTGGCCGAGCCGAAGTTGACCACAAGGGGTCGGTCCGACGACTCAAAATCCAGGAGATGGCACTCGTCTTCACTGATAGTCCAGGATCCAGGTGGCACATTGGTCTTGCTACCAAGACTTGTGGTCCTCCTAGAAGCATTAGGCACCTTCACTAGTTTGGAGTTCGGTGCATCGCCGCCGAGTTTCACCTGAGGAGGTAAAAACAGAGACTAGAGTAAATCTGTAGATCATATTTTTAGATCCCAGTCGAGCTCCCTTGCCCCCCTCTCATCAATGAAGTGACGGTGCCCTTTGAGGATAAGAAGTTCCTGTGTTGTTTTCCTTCATTTGTAAGATTTTTATAATCAACAATACTTATTTCTTTCAGCAGGTTCCATTAAGGTGGCAGCCTTCCAGCAAAAATGCATATGGCACTAGTTTGTCTACTCTGTTTTTTATTGCTGTAGTGCACGCAGTGCACGATGGCGCCATCAATCTGAGGGGACCCACCTCTTATGTAGATTGAGTCTCAGGCATTATCAATCAATCAATCTACTCAATTTTTATTTATATAGCACCAAATCACAACAATTCGTATCTCAAGACACTTTCCAAAAGAGCAGGTCTAGACCAAACTCATTGTTTGATGGATTACATAGACCCACTTCAAGATGGGGAAAGATTGAGTCCCATGTAGAAATACAACGGCCATTCTTAAGCCACCTTGAACCATCATGTGTGGCAGTAGGTGTTACCCAGACCCACCTAGTGGCAGATAAGTGTTGAAACTTTGACCAATTAGTAATTACAGAGAATCATGTTAAACTTTGATCAGGTAAAGCTTGTTGTAGGGAGCAAATCTTATCCATACCTGCCAACACTCCCGGGACGCTCCCGTGTTTCAGACCTATCTCCCACCCACCTCCCATATTGTCATTGCTCCCAGGATTCTCCTGTAGTTTGCATGATCCACGTTCATTCATGAATCGGATGTGTTTCTGCTGAGCCTCACAGACACTGGATTGATACTTTTACTTTACAATTTGGGATGATTCAGGTCAGTTTAAGCTGTAAACTTTATTTAAGCAGTGTTTGTTCAAAATGAAAACTTAAACGAAAGGGAAACAAACATGAGATATAATATTTACATTGACAGTCCTGCGCTGTCTCGGATTGATGCGTTCAGGGAAGCTTTGGATAAAAGAGTGCTGTATTGCATGCACAGATGTTCAGAGAGCTTTATACAGGAGAACATGCAAAACATATGAGGACTTTAACACCAAAATTAGTGGACTACATAAGTTCAAGGCATATCGTAGCTATTATTATTTTATTACCATTTGTTATTATTAAGTGTGCAGCTTCACTTATACTTATTTGAATGAGCAATCTAAATTACAAATACTCTCATAATTAGCTCCTATCCACCATATAAGGCAGGCATGTCCAAACTATTCCACAAAGGGCCAGTGTGGCTGCAGGTTTTTCTTCCAACCAATCAAGAGCACGCAGTCTGACCAATCAGCTGTCTGAAAACTGAGATCAGCTGATGAAATGAATCAAGTCTGGTGTGCTGCTGCTTGGTTGGAAGAAAAACCTGCAGCCACACCGGCCCTTTGTGGTAACCTCAAAACTGCCAGGCGTGCGCCACAAAAGTCTCCCTGATTTTATAACCCAAATGTTGGCAGGTATGTCTTAATCCTCACAGAAAGGTTTGCCATTTAATTTAGAGGTTTTCTCAAACAAACGACTATTTCACATAGATAACTGAATTATTTAATGTATATTGATGGAGCATACACAACATGGAAGCTTTTATTTCACACAAAATACAAGTTATAGATTAGAAATTATATTTTTTGAGATGCACACCAGATAGAAAAGGATCACCTTTGAGGGCTTTAGGGGCTCTTCGCTTAAATTAAATGACAGATGTGAAATTTAACTAGAGAGCAGATTACAATGAAAACCACAGAGTAAATTGCACCAAGTTGAATAAATGCAGTATGAGTGGATTCAAGAGACAAAATGACCCCAGGATAACAGTCAAGATATTAATTTAGCTTGAAATTGGGCAGGATAGCACAATTACAGCTTCACCCTGTTGCGTTTTCACTACAGACGTCTCTGTGACGTCCTGAAGCCAAACTGACTCCACCTCACAGAGAGTTACAGAGGAGGCCTTTAAACTTTTTACTGACATCTACACTGTGCCTGCCAGTCGGTTATCCATAGTTATCCATACCCAAGAAGAAAAGAAGAAGAAAAAGAATACACATTTTCATTTTTCATTGTTTTCGAGGTTGCTTGCAGCTTAATTTTGTGGCCAGTTTCAAGCGGACACTCTTTGCTCATTGGCTTTATTTCTAAAGACAGGAAAATATTTTTATTTTATTTTTACCCTAGGGGCTGCCAACTGACAATCTAAAAAGATTAAAACTTGGTTTATTTTCATCATGGCATAAAAAGTTATGAAGTAAAGAGTGAACTCAAAAGAAGGGAAATCATTCAGCCCTCCTGTTGAGCTCCATGGTCAGTTTTGTGGCTTGCATTGTTAGTAGCTTAACTGAAATTAAAATATATTCATCATTTAGATCTGCTCTGAATAACAGATTTTCAATGTGACTAACATTTGCGGTCCAGAAATTGCTGCCTCACCATCAATCTGAATGATTCTGTGACTTTTTTATGTTTAGAAAGACACAGGTCACGTTCGAAAACATCACTGTGAATTGTGCTGTAGCTTTATATTCACGCTCAAACTGAATGAATTGCATAATATTGCTGTTTCATAGACTCATTTAGACTCAGGCAAACAGCAGGTGGTGCAAACAAGCTCTGATCAGGAAACAGCGCCCTTTGATTTTACTGAATGAACTCATCCGGGCTGAACGTGAACCATGAGAACTTTTTAAGGTTAAACGAAAGTTTATCCTCTTAAAGGCTGCAGGACAGCTGCACCCGTTAATCTGTTGCATTACCATTATTTGTTATGTGATGACAACATCATGACTTCATGTGCAGTTAAGAAGCTCTGTCGGTTGTTGGTGTGGAAATTTAGACCTTGAAACTGCTGTCTGACAACAGACACAGGAAAAGGTGTTGGAATGAAATAAAACTGTGAGGGAATGCCTCGATCCCTCAGATTATTTTTAAAAAAGCAAGAAAACGTTTACATTACAATCGATGTACTTCTGGGAACAGGGAAAGTTAAGACGCCCTCCTTCACGGTGGAAGATGTGCCTCTCACACTGTGCAGCATGTTGGAAAGCTGGATTTATGACTGTCAATTTGGAGCTTTTACATATTAAGGTTTAATTTAAATCACTCATAAATCCTCATAAAATGTGAAGGTATTACCTGCTTGTGTGCGTCCAGGAGGAAGCCATTCCAGATGGAGCGGAGCCCCTCGGAGGTGAGCATGCGGCGCCACTCGCCGGAGCCAGCGGACCGGGAGCAGCTGAGCAGCGACACCGCGCGCTTCACGAGGACCACGGAGTCGTAGAGCGCGAGGAAGAGACAGTTTGAGAAGAAACCAGGTAAAATCTGGAGTGTCACGAGCAGTTCCTCGCTTGCCATTCCCATTCTCTCTGTGTCTCTGCGTTTATAAGACCGCTGGAGAATTATTCCAAACTGCTCTTCATTACGCGCAGCTCTGCGGCGGAGGTTCCGGTCACTCCCCTCATTGTTAACCTCTCTGATCCAGTGATTTCTCCAGGCTTTGTGCATAAACTCCCGAAGGTGTATCAGGTGTTTTCCTGCAGTGCTTAGTCCTCTGGTCTTTCACCCTCCAACTGCTCTGTGTCGTGCGTAGTGACGCTCGGCCGCTGCAGCTGGATAACTTCCCAGAGGAAAGAAGATCACTGAAGTTCATATTAAAAGCTTATCTTTAAAGCTGACGTCAGATTAAGACGTCCCCCCCCTCTCTTCCGCTCAGCTGCGCGTCGATATAAAATTTCGTTCCTATTCTGTTGCTTTGTGCATTTTTATTGAAGTGAACCAGCGGAAAAAAAGATTTAAAGCACCCTGTTGTGCCGTGAAGTGAATTTTATTACAGAAGCCAGCCACGAATCCAGAAGTTGAAGCACGCAATGATACCGAGCCGGGTTATTTTTCCCATTTTTACGATTGGAAAGTATAAGAGCCCGGCAGGAGACAGGGATGACAGACAGGGAGGGTTGCGTTCAGATGCAGTGGTACAACTTTGACACTTTTTTCCCTCTGTAACATTTTTGTTGTATTATATTTACAGTTTTCAAAAATTAAGAATGTCCCCAAAATATTCACTTTTCCCTTATTTTAATTCAAAAAGTAAAACCTGCATATATTCCAGATACATCACTCACAATATTAAATATGAAAAGATTTTTTTGAAGACTGAATTTTGAAGATCACAGCTCATGAAAATCAAAAATTCACCATTCTAAAACGTCAGAATACTCCGGAAAAGTCTGGTTACTTGTCAGTTCTTTTAGTTCAGACAAGGGGAGAAATTTTGAATGTAAGCACTACCCCTCCCCACCAGTTTTGCCCTCCTGAGGTAAGAAGACTTTCAGTGATACTGAAGTCAACTTTTTACTTTTGCATAAAACTTCCATGCTGTGTTATAATAAAGCATAATTTGCCAAACTGACGGAAAGCAGAGGTCAGCTTGCTCACCGTATACGAGCTGAGCTAGTAAGCATTAGCTCTTACTACTGACATTAATTAGCCACAGCAGCTAGCTTTCCTGCATACAGACTTACAAGTAGTCCTGGTTTTCCACATACAGACAGTTTGTGATCTACCAATATGGAGCATAGGGGCTCAGAGTAGTGATTCCCAGTTCTTGTGTCTTGAGAATATTGAAGTGGTATTTTAAAATGTTATTTATCTGTATGTAAATGCTGTTTTATACATGTGGGTTTTTTTTCATTATACTACTGTTGTTTAAAAAATTTTAATAAATCAGAAAAGCTATACATGTGTTTCATTACCAGTCATATCAGCAAAGACTTGAACAACTATTGTCACAACAGAGTCAGCAGTAGTGCATAAAAGATGACATATACGATAAAATATAACATACATTGATTGGAAAAATAATATCCAAACAATAAGTCTTCTTGCTCAGATGTACATCTTATGGGGCCTTTATGGTGTACAATCTCCTTGCTCTGGATTTTCTGTTATACAGCTTGTGGTACCTTGAATGGAGAGAAGGAGAGTGTGGTATGAAAATATTACTCTCTCTCAAATATCTGTTGTACTTATTTATTTTATATGTAAATTTTCCAAGCTGCTTCATCAGTCAACAACACCACTGTACACAGGCTTTTTTAAAACAACAATGGTGCTTCCAATTAAATCTAGATATAATAAATATAAATACTTAAGATAATTAGAAATGGGGCCCAGTCAACGTGAAAGTTGAGCCAGAGTTTCGCTATTTGCTTCGTTTTCTTGTTTGTGTTAGTAGTTGTGGCCAAAAGAGGATTCAAACATTTTTCTGTACTTTCTTGCTGGTTTCTACTGTCTATATTGTAGCACGCTAGCTTTGTTTGGGCTCGTGCACATTATTTCAGGGCATGCTTGCAACAGATCAGAGCAAGGGAGCAGCATCCACCTCACAACCAATCAGGTCGGGGAGGCGGAGAACGGCTTTGTTACAGTCAGAATGAGCATGGCACTCAAAAATTTTAAAATGTTCACCACACAGGCATTAGAGAACACAGCGATACTGTGATATTATCAAATGTTATCAATAACTAATAGCTATTGATTGATATGAAAAGATTTTTTGTCTATACACCACTGCTTCTTTGAAAGATTCCTGCCTACCCCCTTATTCAAAACCCCCTGAGCCAGAGCCAATGTCATGAGAGTCTCACTTGGGCTAAGATGAACAAGAACTGGACTACTGCTCAGTTGCCCAGAGTCCTGTTTTCAGGTGCGTGTCATTTGGATATCAAGGTCCCACAGAAGCCCAGAATCATGGATGCTTTAAGTCCAGCGTGAAGCTCCCACAGTCCATGATGATTTGGGGTGCCATGTCATCTGCTGCTGCTGTTCTACAGTGTTTTATCAAGTCCAAAGTCAACACAGCTTAAAGTGTACTAGATGGTTAAAGAGACCTTTATCCTTCTATCTGCTGAGTAGATTTATGAAGATAGATTTCTTTTTCCAGCAGGACCTGGTACCTGCTCACAGCACCAAAACCACCAGAAACTGGTTCATTGACCATGGTGTTACTGAGCTTGATTGTCCAGCCAACTGGTCTGACCTGAACCCTATAGAGGATTTATGTAGTTTCACCAAGAGGAAGATGAGAGACACCAGGGCCTAGGTCGACATTTCCAAAATAGAAATCCTTTTTTTGGATTGGTCGTTTTGGATTGTCATATTTTAATGTTTGGAGAGCTTGGATTTTTGATTATTGAGTGTGGCATGAAGGGGGCATTTTCTGTGAAAGCAGAACTTTGGAGTTGTGAGGTGACTATAAAGCTGTGTAAAAAGTAACACCCACAAGCTTCTTCTTAGCCAAAATGAAGTATTTTAGTCACAGTAGTGCTGAAATCAAAGTTTGCACCATTGCTAGTGTCAGATAACAATGCCAATGTATTAGTGACCCAGACTTCTTTATAAGTGTCCCAGGCTGGGAGAATGAAAAGTTTGACATGGGCATAACAGAAAAAAAAAAAGAAAGAAAATCAGATGCATTCTGGTCAGTTTCTGTGCAGAGTACATGATAACTTCATAGAACCCCCTTGAAAAAACAAAGTAATTCTCAGTGTTTAAATATGGGGAGTAAACAAAGTCATAAATCCCAAATGCTCAAAAACTGGAACAGAGATCACTCCTTGTGCAACATTCAGATTTCAGCCAAGTGAACTTTTCCTCACTTTTATGAGATTTGTCATGCAGTAAAGGACAAAGCCTGACTGATTCTACACAGATGTGGGATCCCCACAATAAAAAAAAAAATCGAGTTACTGTTTCACAAGCAAATGAAAATGGCCAAAAAAGCTTTCCAGATTTTTATTAATAGCATTCACCATTTTGATCAAAACCACCTCAATTTTTCTGGGCGTCCTTCCACTTTAAACATGTAAATGTCCAGGCTCATGAAAACAGATCCTATGTGATCACTCTACATAATCCTTCTTCAACCCAGCTTTAGACCAAAATAGAGTGACGTGTTTTCTTTGTTTGCAGCTGCAAGAGGGAGAGAAAGAGACTTCAGCCTGATATGTCTTCATGTTTTACAGTCTCTCTAAAATGTGGCGACAAAATGATCCTGGTCTCAAGTTCAATAACGGGACCACTTTTCAAGGTTGTGGTCTCATCTCGGATTTACAAGCATTTCACTTTGGCCTTGTTCTGGTCTCAGAAATGCCTTATGCATGAGTCACTTGCAAAAAAACTCAATTCTTAGCAAGTGAATCCATCTTATGCCACATTCTCTAGAAAAATCAGCATAAATATCTTCTATCAAGATATAAAAAGACAAAATGAGTGAGAACAGCTGCTAATGCACTTGGCAAACTTCACTCCAGTTTCTTCAAGCAAGGTTATTTATTTCATCTCCAGTGACTTACAGGGATGTCAGTATTTCTGGACAGGGGTTGTATGAGTTATGAGTCATGAGTAAGATTAGCTAGAATGGATGTTGGTCAGCTCAGCCCCTTAAATGAAAAACTGCAAGCTAGGCCACAGTTTTCTACAGATAAGGCTGTGTGAGACACATGACTCAGCTAATTCTGAGAGAGTCTGACTCAAGGGGAATCTACTTGCAGATGCAATGCTGCTTGTTCACATGCCAGTCAGTTGGGTCTATCATGTGTGAGTCACTGATGTTTTAGGACTTGCAAAAAGTGCAAAATCAAATACGTTTTCTGATTGAAAAACACATTTCTGAAACTGTCTCAGTAATTGAGATGAGTGCTTATACCACAGTCTCTCAAGATTAGGTGTCAGAGTTGGCCCCATTTGCAGATAACTGTAGCCTAGCTTGCGTGCCAGTTTTCCTGGGTTGAATCTGATGGTTTTCAGTGTAGGGTGGGAGGGTTCATGAATTCATACTAAACCAATCTGGAACAGGACTTGTAGGGACTGTAAACATGCAGACAGAAAAGTACTGAGTCCCCACACAGTTGGAGGACTGAAGAGGACCACAGCCAACACAATACACAATAAGCAAGAACTTGAATATCCCCATCAGACATGAGGTCTCAGTGTTGGAACACTACAGGAAATATAACAATGACAGAGAAAAATAGATAAAACCAATTTTGTTCACTCATGTGGTGATTTTTCATTGATAGACAGTTTGTGATCCTAATAGAGGTTTTGACTTGGTCTCACTCCCTAAATGTGTGGTCTCCGGGCCCTTGGGTCTCATGTTTTTTGGTTGTGTCTTGACTGCAGTGTTGTACATTTAAAACAGACTTACTCCTTCCCTTTGTGGATATTTTATGTGCTTGTGATTCATTTACATCTTCAGTAAATACAGAACTAAATGGCTTATAACCACAGCAAAACTCAGCTATCTGTGGTGCTAATAGGAGTTGATGAACCCCCATCCCCCACTGGCAGCAGCATTACTAGGCCACGGTTTGATGCCGCATCCATTATCTGTTCAGGCCCCATGTCCTGTGCTCTGTGCCAAACCACAACCAGACTGCTGCTGAAGCTTTGTCCTCTGAATCGGAAACGTTCCTCCTGCCTGGCATGGAGTGAGAGAACGAGAC